AACTCCTGGGCTCAAGCAAGTCTCCTGCCTCAGCCTCCCAAGTTGCTGGGACCACAGGCGCCTGCCACAACGCCTGGCTATTTTTTCGTTGCAGCCATCATTGTTGTTTGGCGGGCCCAGGCTGGATTCAAACCTGCCACCTTGGGTATATATGGCTGGCACCTTAGCCACTTGAGCCACAGGTGCCGAGCCCTTTTTGTCTTTTTTTTGAGAGAGAGAGTCTCACTATGCCCTCAAACTCTTGGGCTTAAGCAATTCTTTTGCCTCAGTCTCCCAAGTGGCTGGGACTACAGGTGCCTGCCACAACGCCCAGCTATTTTTTGTTGCAGTTGTCATTGTTGTTTAGCAGGCTGGGGCCAGGATGGAACCCGCCACCCTCAGTGTATGAAGATGGCGCCATAACCACTGTGCTATAGTCACTGAGCCATAGTTTTTCTATTTTTATTTATTTTTATTTATTTATTTTTTTGAGATGAAGTGTCTAGCTGTTGTTGCCCTGGATAGAGTGTTGTGGTGTCATAGCTCACAGCAACCTGCAACTCTTGGACTCAAGTGATCTTCTTGCCTCAGTTTTTCTATTTTTAGTAGAAGACAGGGCCTTGCTTTTGCTCAGGCTGGTCTTGAGCTCAAGCAATCCACCCGCATTGGCCTCCCAGAGTGTTAGGATTGCCGTCATGAGCCACTGCATCGGCCTCCCGGAGTGTTAGGATTGCAGTGATGAGCCTCTGCACCCAGCCTTGTTTTAATATTTTAAGTAGTGATGGGGTCTCATTCTTACTCAGGATGGTCTCAGATTCGTTGGCTCAAGTGATCATCCTGCCTCAGCCTCCCAGAGTTCTGGGATTACAGGTGCAAGCCACTGTGCCCAGCTGCTATTTTGATATTGGCATATCTCAGACGTAACTGGGGCCTGGGGTATCACACAACAGTGGGTCTTGAGCTCTGAAAGGGTCATCCTGGTTCTTGATAGGATTGTGGATGTCGGGGGCCAAAAGTCAGAGCGCAAGAAGTGGATTCACTGCTTTGAGAATGTGATCGCCCTTATCTACCTGGCCTCGCTGAGCGAGTATGACCAGTGCCTTGAGGAGAACAACCAGGAGGTGAGAGGGCCAGGACATCCTGAGTGTGCTTGGCATGGCTTTGAACTTGACACTTCACCTTTTCATGGTTAGACTGTTGTTACAGTCCAAGAGACAGACCCACAGTATTTGCATGGCCAGGACCCGACACATACGCACACACCCCCACTCCACATTCCTGTCCACATACTGTTGGCAACACCAAGGAATACCTGGGCTGTTGTCACACTCATTCACAGACACATTCTGTAGTAAGTTGCACACACATCCTCCATCACACAAGCACACGTGTGCATGTAGGGACACCCCAGCCTCAAGGCACAGCCACTTGCACACATGAGCCCAGCCATCATAGGAAAAAACCAAAACAAAACAGGTCTCCTGGGGCCACTTCCCTTTTGTGAGCGAAACAGTCTCTCCTAGTTCTCTTATTTAACATCCAAGCATAGAGGTCAGGCACATTATTACACGACAGGCATGAATTTCTCCAGGTTCAAGTTTTGCACAGACACTTCGGAGATCTAAGAGTCAGATGTTATACTTTTGACTTTCAGACTGAATCAGACAGGATGAATTCCAGGTCCCTGACACAGCTTGTCCTTGAATCCAGTCACAGCAGATGAACTTGTTTCCTGAGGCTGTTGTAATAAATTTGCACAGACTGGAAGGCTTAAATGACAGTTATTTATCCTCTTACAGTTCTTCCGGTGGCCGGAAGTCCAAGATCAAGGTGTGGGCAGGGCTGGTTCCTTCTGAAGCCACAAGGGAGGGTCTGCTCCAGGCCTCTCCCAGCTCCTCATGGTGGCTGGCATCCTGGGTGTTATCATTTAGAAGCTTCACCCTGATCTCTGCCTCTGTCTTCACATGACGTTTTCCCTGCATGCTTGTGTATATCCAAATTTCCCCCTTATATAAGATCACAGTCATTGGATTAGGGCCCATCCTACTCCATTATATCCTCAGCTTAATTAACTCCATCTGCAATGACCCTGTTTCCAAAGCAGGTCCTTTTCCAAGGTCCAGGGGACAAGGCCTTGAGCATATGGATTTTGAGGGGACATGATTCAACCTATAACATAAGACATTTGGTAACTCATTGTATTAACATTTATTTATTTATTTATTTATTTTTTAGAGACAGAGTCTCACTTTATCGCCCTCGGTAGACTGCCGTGGTGTTACAGCTCACAGTAACTTCCAGCTCCTGGGCTTAAGTAATTCTGCCTCAGCCTCCCAAGTAGCTTGGGACTATAGATGTCCACCATAACACCCCACTATTTTTTTTTTTTTTAGAGACAGAGTCTCACTTAGTCACCTCTTGGTAACGCCCCACTATTTTTTGTTGCAGTTTGGCCGGGGCCGGGTTTGAACCCACCACCCTCGGTATATGGGGCTGGTGCCCTACCCACTAAGCTATAGGTGCTGCCCTGTATTAATATTTAAATGTGACTAAAATATGCCCAATCAGAAGATACTAGACAGTTGGGTATTTCCATTGACACGGACATGGGACTTCACATACTTAGACCCTCTCAGACGTTCATTGTGTAGGCAAAGATGCAGACAGGTGTGCAAAATGAAGCCAGCACCCTGCAATGTGACACTCTCGGGAAAAACATTCAAACCTTCCTCTGTGGCCACTCACGACCTGGCCCAGCCACCCCAGTGCTCAGCAAAGTGGCCACTTAGACGTAGCAACACACATAGGTTGACGCTGGGCTCTCTAAGAGTGGCTGCTGTCTCAATGACTACACACCAAGGGGCTTAAAACCACAGAAACTGATTTCCTCCCAGCTCCAGAGGCTGGAAGGTTAAGATCAAGGCATCAGCAGGGTTGTGCTCCCCCTGAGCTCTCAGAGAAGATCCTTCTTTGTTTCTTCCAGTGTGGCAGCTCCTGGTGACCCCTGGTGTCCCTCAGCTTGCAATCACCTCACTCCAGTCTCTATCTCTGCCCTCACATGGCCATCTTCCCTGTGTGTTTGTATTCAACTTTCTTTCTGTCTCTTTTTTTTTAGAGACAGAGTCTTACTTTGTCTCCCTCAGTAGAATGTCATGGCATCTTACCTCACAGCAACCTCAAACTCTTGGGCTTAAGTGATTCTCTTGTCTCAGCCTCCCAAGTAGCTGGGACTACAGGCACCTGCCACAACGCTCGGCTAGTTCCAGAGACAGGGTCCCACTTGCTCTAGCTCAGGCTGGTCTCAAACTGGTAAGCTCAAGCAATCTACCTGCCTCCACCTCCCAGAGTTGTTAGGATTACAGGAGTGAGCCGCCATGTGGCCTTCAACTTTCTCCTTTTTTGAGACAGAGTCTCTGTCGCCCAGGTTAGAGTACTGTGGCGTCAGTCTAGCTCACAGCAACCTCAAACTCCTGGGCTTAAGTGATCCTTCTACCTTGGCTTGCTGAGTAACTGGGACTACAGATGCCTGTCAAAATGCCTGGCTAATTTTTTTCTATTTTTAGTAGAGACAGAATCTGGCTCTTGCTCAGGCTGGTCTCAAACTTCTGAGCTCAAGGAATCCTCCTGCCTCTGCCTCCCAGAGTGCTAGGATGAGCCACTGCACCCAGCCTCAACTTTCCCTCTCTCTTTTGTTTTTAATTTCTAAATAGAGATAAGGGTCTCACTGTCCTGCCCAGGCTGTTCTCAAATTCCTTGGCTGAAGTGATCCTCCCTCTTCAGCTTGCCACAGTGCTGGGATTACAGGCATGTGCCACTATGCCCATTCTAAATTTCACTTTTTTTTACAAGGACACCAGTCATTTGAATTTAGAACAGCCTCATCTTAACTAATTACATTTTCGAGTTCCCTAACTCCAAATAAGGTCACACTCTGAAGTTTCAGGTGGACATGGGTTTGGGGAAGATACTCTTCAAACCAACATAAGCATAAAATCATGCTGAACACATCCCCCTCAGATACATGCCTGAGTCCCTGACTGGCCACCCAACAACAGCCCATCTCCAGGGTCTCTCGCTCAAGCTGGCGGGTTGGAGCACTGACTTGCTTCTGTCTGCAATGCAGAACCGTATGAAGGAGAGCCTGGCCTTGTTTGGCACCATCCTGGAACTTCCCTGGTTTAAAAGCACATCTGTCATCCTCTTCCTCAACAAAACTGATATCCTAGAGGAGAAAATCCCCACCTCCCACCTGGCTACCTACTTCCCCAGTTTCAAAGGTAAGTGGTTCTATAAGTTTCTATACCCTTCACCTCCCAAAAGTGGTTTTCAAAAGAGATGCCGGTCCAGGCCCTATTTCAGTATGGAGTCACTGGAAGTTTTAAATAAGATCAGCCCTGGATTCCAGAGCCAGCTCTATCCACTGCCCAACCTCTCTGAGTGTCAGTTTCCCCTTCTGATGAGTGGGTATAAAGTATTAAATTAGCAGAGACCCTCATACTCAATGAACTTGGGAAAAGGGAGAATTTTAGGAAGATATCTTCTATTATGTTTACCTTAGACATTTTATTTCACACATGTCTGACTATTGGGATTTGGGCTAACATCTTTTGAGTATGTATTTGCTGTATAGAGCTGCTCTAAAGTACACTGAAAGGCATTGTCTACTATTTCCAGAATTTTCCTAGGTCTTCAAAACTTTACTTTTTCTAATCTTTCATAGTCATCTCCTCTATACCTAATTGGATAGCAATTTTTTCTTTAATTCATGACCATCCTTTTAGCAATCATTCCAAAGCATGCAGCTTTGTTTCCACAGATTCAACAATTCTCTTTCATGTGGCTCTTGTAACTAATAGGTTTTAGTCATGTTTCATTTAACTGCATATTGGTCAGGACAGATACAACTGGCATGAACAGGTTTGGAAATAAACCTTGATCACATCCAGAAGGTCAAAGGGCTGGGCCGATTATAGAAAAACATTGGTAAGTGTTGGATATCACTTAGTATATTTTACAGAAGGAGGTAGAGTTTTGGCTAATTCAGAGACCTAGGCAGGGAAGGTTTGTATTTTCTAGTACTTTCCACAGAGCTCTACTGTAAGGATAAAGCCAGATGATAGAAGTATTTCACTTAGCTATTTCTGAGTGACAAACTATTCCCAAACCTAGTAACTTAAATTGGCCGTTTTCCTTTGTTATGATTTTGTGGGTCAGGAATTTGGGAATGGTTGAACTGGGTTATTTTATTTCTGATTTAAGTGTCATCAGCTGGGGTTGGTCAGATTAGATATATACTTCTGGATGGCTTTTCCCTTAGGTGTCTGGTGCCTTGAAACTCTTGTCCTCTCCTCTTTCTGTCTCTCCCTGCCTCTTTCCCTACATCTCTCCTTCTCCCCTTTCTCCCATCTATCACTATTTCTCTCTCCCCATTTAGTGCCTCATAATCCAGGGACTTCTTATATGGTTTGGGCTTCCTCACAATATGGCTGTCTCATAATAGACTTCAGCCCAGATGGAATCTGTTTCTTGTGATTGAGCTTCTTAAGTGTCAGAATGTTACTCTGTTCACATTCTATTGGTCGACCACACCACTAAAACCAGCCAAGATTCTAAAAGAGGAGGAGGAAATTCTTCCTCTTGATAGAGGCATGGCATGTGCATACAGGGTGGGAAGGAAGTGATGGCAGCCATCTTGGAGACAACCTGCTTTCATTTTCCTTGGCCACTGTAAACAAAGTAGTTCAAGCTGAGTGGCTTAAAACAAGAGAAATTTATTCCTTCACAATTCAGAAGTCCAAAATCAAGGTGTGGATAGGGTTAGTTCTTTCTGGAGGAAGGAAAATCCATTTCACACCTCTCTCCCAGCTTCTGGTTGTGGCCAAGAATATGTGGCACTTCTCGGCCTATATACACATCAGTCCAATCTTTACCTTCATATTCACATGTCTGTCTTCTTGCTATATCCTCCCCTTTCTTATAAGGCCACCAGTCACTGGATTTAGGACCCATACTCTAGTATAAACTCATTTTAATTTAAATAATTACATCTGCAAAGATTCTATTTCCAAATAAGGTCATATTCTGAGGTTCCAGGTAGATGTGAATTTTGGGAGCTACTAGTCACCCCAATATGCAAACAATCATAGTAGATGAAGCCTTTCGTACATGCTTGGCACTAGGTAAATAGTCAGTAAACATAGGCTTGACGATGTCACCAGAGTTTGATGCCCTGGCCTTGTCACATCTTGGAGCCCTGGAAACCAATTTTAGCCAATTATCTCCACAAGATTCAGGATCTTAGAGACAGACATCAAGTTGTTCCAGGATGGTGGCCTGAAATTGCCTCCCTTCCCAGCTGAGCAGGCCAGGAAATCAGCCCATGGATTAGAGAATTTGGGAAGAGGATAAGGTGAATAGATTTTTTTTTTTTTTTTTTTTTGGAAACAAGAACATGCTTTATCACCAGGGCCAGTGTATAGTGACATGATGATAGCTCCCTGCAGCCTCAAACTCCTGGGCTCAAGAAATCCTCCTGGCTCAATTTCCAGAGTAACTATGTCTACAAGTGCTACCACCACAACCTGCTAATTTTTTTTTTTTTGAGACAGAATCTTAAGCTGTTGTCCTGGGTAGAGTGCCATGGTGTCACAGGGCACAGCAACCTGCAACTCTTGGGTTCAATCCATCCTCTTGGCTCAGTTTTTCTATTTTAGTAGAGATAGTGTCTCACTTTACCTTGTCATTTTTTTTTGGTAGCGTGATGTGGCATCACAGCTCACAGTAACCTCCAGCTCTTGGGCTTAGGTGATTCTCTTGCCTTAGCCTCCCAAGTAGCTGGGACCACAGGTGCCCACCGCAACGCCCGGCTATTTTTTGTTGTTGTTGCACTTTAGCCAGGGCTGGGTTCGAACCTGCCACCCTCGGTATATGGGGCCAGTGCTCTACTCACTGAGTCACAGGTGCCGCCTATGCTCAGGCTAGTCTTGAAGCCGTGAACTCAGGCAGTCCACCTGCCTCAGCCTCCCAGAGTGCTAGGATTACTGGCATGAGCCACCATGCCCAACCTAATCTTTTTTTTTTTTTGAAGATAGAATCTCTGTTGCCTAGGCTAGAATGCTGTAGCATCAGCCTGGCTCACGGCAACCTCCAACTCCTGGGTTCAAGTGCTCCTGTTTATTAAGCACTGAGTCCTTAGCATAATATTAAATCTTAGAAACAACTCTACAAGGTCTGGAACTGTTCTGATACTCTTTCTTTCTTTTTTTTTTTTTTTTGTAGAGACAGAGTCTCACTTTGTTGCCCTCAGTAGAGTGCCCTGGTGTCACAGCTCACAGCAACCTCCAGCTCTTGGGCTTAGGTGATTCTCTTGCCTCAGCCTCCCGAGTAGCTGGGACTACAGGCCCCTGCCACAACACCTGGCTATTTTTTGTTGCAGTTTGACCGGGGCTGGGTTTCAACCTGCCACCCTCAGTATATGGGGCTGGCACCCTACCCACTGAGGCACAGGCCCTGTTCTGATCCTCTTTCTAAGAATGAGGAAACTAGACTGGGCATAGGGGCTCACACCTGTAATCTCAGCACTCTGGGAAGTTAAGATGGGCCAATTCAAGATGGGAGTTGAAGACCACCCTGAGCAAGAGCAGGACCCATCACTATTAAAAATAGAAAAACTATCTGGGTGTTGTGGTGGGTGCCTATAGTCCCAGCTCCTTGGGAGGCTGAGGCACGAAGATCACTTGAGCCCAGGAGATTGAGATTGCCATGAGCTGGGATGCCAGGGTACTCTATCTAGGGTGACAGAGTGTCTCAAAAAACAAACAAAAAAACAGAATGAATAAACTGAGGCTTGCAGACATTACAGAGATTAATATATTAGATAACCCAACTAGTGAGTAACTGGAGCCAAATCTAGGGTTCCAGAAGCACTTCATGTTGCGCTTTCAATACATATATATTGAACTCCCTGATGTGCCTCATAAGGGCACCCATCCAGGCTGATTGTGGGGACTCCTTTCCCCTTTCTTGGCGACTGTTTCCCTACCTGCACACTCCCAGGTGGTTTGTCTCTGCAGCTCTCATCCATTCCCAGCTTCAAGCCTAGAGGACAAAGCACCCCTCTTTAAGACTGCTCTGTTCAAAATCCCAGAGCTGAGTTTCATTGATCTGGGTTTTTTTTTTTTTTTTTTTTTGAGACGGAGCCTCAAGCTATCCTCCTGGGTAGAGTGCCATGGCATCACGCTCACAGCAACCTCCAACTCCTGGGCTCAAGCGAGTCTCCTGCCTCCGCCTCCCAAGTAGCTGTGACTACAGGCGCCCGCCACAACGCCTGGCCATTTTTTGGTTGCAGCCATCATTGTTGTTTGGCAGGCCCGGGCTGGGGATTCGAACCCGCCACCTTAGGTGTATGTGGCTGGCGCCTTAGCCGCTTGAGCCACAGGCGCTGAGCCCATTGATCTGTTTTAGGTTACATGACTCTTCCCAGCTACTCCTTGATACTCCCATTGGCTGGGCGTAAGTCATGTGATCAGCCATGACGCTGGCATAAATCCACAAAAAAAGATGCTGGGAGTGGTGGTCTCTGGGGCCTTTCCAGGCCTGATTATGGGAAAGGGGTCTCCGGACCCTTGTCCCAAGAGAGAGGGTCCTGACCTTACCCACCTCCCCAACTCCTTTCCCCCAGGTCCCAAGCAAGATGCAGAGGCAGCCAAAAGGTTCATCCTGGACATGTACACCAGGATGTACACTAGCTGCAATGATGGCCCCGAGGGCAGCAAGAAGGGCCCGCGTTCCCGACGCCTCTTCAGCCACTACACTTGCGCCACGGACACGCAGAATATCCGAAAGGTCTTCAAGGACGTGCGGGACTCTGTGCTTGCCCGCTACCTGGACGAAATCAATCTGCTGTGACTCAGGGCCTACCTGAGGGCAGGTGGGTGGCAGAGGGGCCCAAGCGAGCCCCGAGTGCCTCTGGTCATTCCAACCCCGGCAACAAAAGGTCCACGCATGAGTGAGTCCGAAGAAGCAGGACTCGCCTGCCACTGCCCCCTTTCTTCTCTGCCACTCACTAAGAAACACTCCCCGCCCTGTGCTGGGTTCTCCTGCCCTTGCCTGACTTGTTTACCTCCTTTGAAAGGGAGGGGACAAAATACCCGTTTGGGTTGTCAGGGTGGAGGAAAAGGTGAAGAAACCAAGGTTTCAAGGACTTGGGTAGGTGTGCTTCTCGAAGGAGCCCCACATCCGGGTATGTCACGTGCTGAGCAGGGGTCTGGGATCCCCTTATGGGTACGCACAGTCTGGGATTGGAGAGTGAGCCTTGGGTGCTTTCAAAGTGGGCTCTGGCGCCCTCTGGTGGACATCAAGAGGCACTAACCCCGGTCTGCGCGGGGACATCCGTCTGCTAGGGGAGTCTCCAGGCTCATAGTGTGACTCTTCCGGTTTACGGATAAGGGAAACCGAGGCCAACAGGCACCCCGCCTCCTTCCCAGGATGGGGTCTGGGAAAGCCGCATCTTAGATGTATGCAAAAGGTTATATTTATTTCCTCACCCTCAGCGGGGCCCCTTGTAGGGTGGACATTAAAGTCATGACATCCTGAAGGTCTGTTATTTCTTAGGGGTTGTGTCGCCAGTGTCATGCTTCTCAACCTTGCGTGCCTTTCTCAGGTAACCTACCCTGGGGACCAGGGATTGCAGGGAGCAGTGGATAACAGCATGGGGTAGAAAGAAAAAAAATCCTACTTCTTGTTCACCTACTTGTGCTTGGCACTGTACCCAGAACTATGGAGCGCTGTGCTGTCTGTGAGCCAGGACATGGAGTTTGACCTCTCTCCCTGGCTGGGGGATTTCTGTGCAGATGCCTGGATTGCTACTTACCCAAATTTCCAGCTGCAGCCATCCATCTGCCTTTGATGAGCTCTCTCACTATCCTTGGGGCAGCCCTAGTCAGTGCAAGCCATATCACCCCTATTTTACAGATGAGGAAACTGAGGCACAGACAGTGGAATGATTTGACTAAGCTCATACACCTGGTAGTAAAGCCAAGAGTCTATTCATTTGCTTTGACTTTAAATAAATAAATTGGGTGTGCACCTGGGGCCTATAATCCTAGTTGCTCGGGAGGTGTAGCAGGAAGATTGCTTGAGCCCAGGAGTTCGAGGCCAGCCTGGGCAACATGGCAAGACTCCATAAAAACTTTATTTTTTAGAGCAGCATTAGTTTTACAGAAAAAAATTCAGAAAATAAGTACAGAGAATTCCCAAGTACCCCTCACCTTGTTTTCCCCCATCTTATACTAGTTTGGCACATCCATTTACAATAAATGAGGCAATATTGTTGTTAACTATTCTTCATTTAGATTTCCCTAATTTTCCCCTAATGCCCTTTTTCTGCCCTAGTACCTTATCCACGATTCCATATGACATTTAATCTATCCTCTGGCCTTTGTCAGTTTCTCAGCCTTTCTTTTTAAGAAAGAGTCTCAAGCTGTGGCCCTGGGTGGAATGCTGTGGCATCATAGCTCACAGCAACCTCCGACTCAGACTTAAGTGATTGTCTTGCCTCAGTTTTTCTATTTTTGGTAGAGACAGGGTCTTGCTTTTGCTCAGGCTGGTCTTGAACTCGTGAGCTCAAGCAACCCACCCACCTCAGCCTCCCAGAGTGCTAGGATTACAGGCATGATAAAAAAAATTTTATTGATACACACACACACAAGCTGTTTCCTTGTCAGCCTGAAAGAGTGTCAGGCAGGTATTGTATTCATTTCCCATGGCTGCCATAACAAATGACCCCAAACTCAGTGGCTTAAAACAACAGGAATTTGTTCTCACAATTTTGGAGACCACAAGACCAAAGTTAAAATGTCAGTAGGGTTGTCCTCCCCCAAAAGGCTGCAGAGGAGTGTCCTTTCTGCCTCTTCCAGCTTCTGGAACTCGAGGCATCCTTGTATTGTGGCAGTATCACTCCAGTTTCTGCCTCCCTCCGTATTCACACAGCCTTCTCCTCCTATGCGTGTCTCTGTCCACTTTTTCTTCTCATGAAAACACTAGTCATATTGCCTTAGGAGCCACCCTAATGGCTTCATCTTAAGATGGTCACATTTGCAAAACTATTTCCAGATAAGGTCCCATTCACAAGTACCAGAGTTTTAATTTGAACATACCTTTGGGGTACAGGCCATATTTCAATCTGTAACGGGTATTTTGTAGAAAGTCAATCGGGTTTGGTCTGATTAGATTGGAGTGGTGGGTTTGGGGGAGGAAGACCTCAGAGATGAGGGCCCTTCCCATTACATCCTGGCAAAGGCTAGTGCTCTCATCGTGATTTATCACTGCTGATGTTAACCTTGATCACCTGGCACAGGTAAAACAGGTAGTTATCCAACTCTCTAAATCTTTTTATCATGGAAAGTTTCAAACCTAAGAAAGTTGAAAGACTAGTCAGGTCTGCATTAAGTCTTTCATGGGCAAAACCCATTACTTTGGGGGTCTTTTCCCCCATAAAAAATTAGAAATTAGGCTCAGCGCCTGTAGCTCAAGCGGATAGTGCGCCAGCCCCATACACTTGAGGTGGCAAGTTCGAGCCCAGTCAGGGCCTGCCAAACAGCAATGACAACTACAGCCAAAAACCAGCCAGGCATTGCGGTGGGCGCTTGTAGTCCCAGCTACTTGGGAGGCTGAGGCAGGAGAATCGCTTAAGCCCAAAAGAGTTTGAGTTTGCTGTGAGCTGTGATGTAACAGCACGCTACATAGGGTGACATAGTGAGACTCTGTCTCAAAAAGAAAAATTAGAAATTAGTTTTTATGACTGTGTTGGTATAAAAAGGAATAAAATCCAGACTGAGCAGAGTGCAGTGGCTTATGCCTGTAAACCTGGCAATTTGGGAGGTAGGAAGTGGGAGGATTGCTTGAGTCCACATGTTCAAGACCAGTCTGAGCAACATAGCAAGAACCTATCTCTACAAAAATAAATTTAAAAATAAAATATATAATCCAGTAGCTTTTAGTGTACTTAAACAGTTGTGCACCCATCACTACAATAAATTTTAGAACATTCTATCATTCCTAAAAGAAACCACATCCCCAAAGCACTCATTCCCCATCCCCTCCCCCTGCCCCTGGCCACCATAAATTCACTTCCCATCTCTGTCGTTCTGCCTGTTCTAGATATTTCGTATAAATGGGATCACACTATATGACATGCTATATCTGGCTTCCCTCTTGATGGATATTTTCAAGGTCCATCCACATTGTAGCCTGTGTCAGAGCCTCCTTTCTTTTGATGGCTGAGTGATATTCCAGTGTGTGGATGGAGCACATTGTGTTTATCCACTTATCTGTCCATGGCCACTTGGGTTCCACAGTTTGGCTGTCATGAACATGGGTGTACACGTTTCTGGTGGACATGTTTTTATTCCTCTTGAGTATGTACCTGGGGCAACGCTGCTGGTTCATGTGGTAAGATCATTTGTGTTTGATACAAGTGTGGCCAACAGCAGCCCCTTCCAGCTGGCTTCTGTGTCCTTTGAGGTCCCTATCCTTCTCTGAGCACTTCTTGATTTTCTGGCCTGCCAAGACGTTCCAGGCTCATCTTCTCTTCTTCCTGCTCCACTGCTGGAATCAGCCATTTCCTCTTGGAGCCCTGGCTCCTTTGTTTGGAGGAGAGATGGGGAGAACAGAGATATTTAGAGGCCAAGACCCGGGTGGTAGGTACTCACTGCTATTGGGTTGTCTCAGTGGATTGAATGAGTACATAAATTTCTCTTTAAATCTCAAGTTTCCGCTGATACTTCCAAATCTTATTCCACCCCAGCAGGGTTCTTCCTTGCAGTTTCCTGTTTCGTATTTGCATCTTTTCTCTCTCCCAGGGAGGACCCTACTTCCTATTCATATCTCTATATTTGCTACTTCACTCACTCTCATAATACAAATGAGAGTTTCAAAATCGCTACACTGGCTCGCACCACTCCCAGTGACAGATCTGGTAAACAAAGTCCAACATTTCTTTGTAGTTCTTTTTGTCTTCAGAGTGAGTAATTTATTCGAAAGTTCCATGGGCTGGTTCCTTTCTATCTGTGTGTGGTTATGTTTTTCATTGGGAATACAGTTTGTTTCATTTGTTTTCTAGTGATATTCTATCTGACAGCTTTTTTTCTCCATGCTTGTTGGTTCCATTTTATTTTTGACTGGAGAAAGCATTAACAGGGCTTAAAAACTACATATAGAAGAATATTCAGATGGGGTCATTCCTCCCCCTTTTCATCTCAATCCCACCCATCCCCTCTAACTAACCAATTTCCTTAGTTCTTGGTTTATCTTTCCTGTGTTTCTTTGCAAGAATAAGCAGTTATGTGGATATTTTATACCCCATTCTTTAATTCAAAAAGACTGGTACTGAGCTCATATGACATACACTCTTTTGTACTTTACTTTGTTGGGTTAACTTCCCATGTCACAATACGTCCTAGGAGTCACTCTGTTCTGTTTGTGGAGTATGTCACTGTTCTTTTACACAGCTGCATAATACTTCTCTCTGGGGACAGCATAGTTTGTCAGCCTCTCTCCTGTAGACATCTGGGTTTCTGCAAATGTTTTCTGTTTATAAACAGCACTTCAAGGAATAACTTTCTGCTTGTGTACTTGGAATTTCTATTATAGAAGGGGCATTATTTTTCTGTGATGTGGGCATAATTGTGAAATTAAATAAGGTATGATGTACATAAAGCCTTTCACCCACAAGGCAAGTAATTAATTCATGGTAGGTCAATGATAGACAGCTTGGCCTCAAGTTAGGCTAAACTCTGTTCTCCCATAGTGCTTTAGTGCTGAATTTGTTCTCTTGGCCTAGGGTGAGGCACTCATCTGGGGTCAAGGTTCAGTTAGACTTGGGGTTCAACCAGAGTGGAGACTCAGCTTGGGATCAGGGATTAGTCTAGGGTCAAGTCTCAAGCAGGATCAGGTGTCAGGGTCAGGGTATGCCCATGGTCACAGACCCAGTCAGGGTCAGGGTCCAGCCCAAAATCAGGATTCAGTTTAGGATTCATCCAGGGGTCAGGACTCAGTTTGGGATGAGAGCTGAGCCTGGGATCAGAACTCAGTCCATGGTAGAGGGCTGGGCCTGGGATCAGGGTTTGGTTCAGTGTAGGAACCTGGAACTGGGATCAGGGCTCAGTCCAGAACCAGGCATCAGAGTTGACACTTGGCTAGTATGGGTCTCAATCTGGATTGAGGCTCAGTTAAAGACTAGGTTTTAGCCAGGGTTGAGGCTTAGTTTGAGGTTAGAACTGACCACAGATTCAGGGTTCATTCAGTCTAGGATAAGGTGCTGAACTTAGGATAATGGCTCAGTCAAGGTGGCTGACTGGAACTGGGATCAGGGGTTAATGTAGCATGGAGCTGAGCCTGGGATCAAGGTTCAGTCTAGGATGGAGGTGCTGAGCCAGGGTTAGGGATCAGCCTCAGTTTCTATGTGTAGGTGCCTGAGTCAGGTAGTCCTTCTAAGCCTGGGAACTGAGGCTCAGTTGTCCGCTTGACAGGGTGGGGTGTGGGCAGGCTTGCGAGCTTGTCCCCTCCTGACTGAATACTCTAGCTGCTGGGCTCTGCTCCCCACACCCTCCTCACTCCACAGCCCTCTTCAGAGCTCTTTCGCTTGGCCACCTCCAGTGACAAGACACAGCTGCCCCCCTATCAACACCTTATGCTGAGCTTCCCTGCAACTGCCCAGCCCCAGAACCAAACAGGAAACAAGGGGGGTGGTGATAGGGGCCCCAGCTGCTGGGTTGCCCTCAGTCCCAGGCTCCTGCTCACCCTGCCCTTTGTGGAGTATCCCAGCTTCTCAGAGGTTACTGTGGTCCTCATGAGACACCTATGTCCTTATGGGATACCTGTGTCATTTGTGGGACACCTGTGCCACTCCTGAGATACCTGTGTCCCCCATGAGATACATGTGTTCTCTGTGGGATATCTGTGTCCCCCATGTGATACCTGGGGCCTCATGGGATACCTGTGTCCCTCATGGCATATCTGCGACCTTTTCAGCACACCTGGTTGGCTGAATTGGTGTGGTCACTTCCTCCAAAAGACCTTGGGCACCACTGTCAGGAAGGCTGATAACCACACTGTCTTGGAGTGGGGGAGGGGCAAGGGCAGTGGGCCTTGTAGGCTCCTCCTTGGTGGTCAGCAGGTCTAGTCCAGTGGGTGAGTGTGTAGTGGAAGTAGGGTCCATCAAAGACATGACCTGGGCCATATTCATAGCTCTGCATTCTTTTTTGTTTGTTTGTTTGAAACAGAGTCTCATCATGTCTCCCTCAGAGTGCTGTGGCTCACAGCAACCTCAAACTCTTGGGCTTAAGTGATTCTCTTGCCTCAGCCTCCCAAGTAGCTGGGACTACAGGCACCTGCCACAATGTCTGGCTACTTTTTGTTGTTGTAGTTGTCATTGTTTGGCAGTCCCGGGCCGGGTTTGAACCCTCCAGCCCCAGTGTATGTGGCTGGTGCCCTAGCTGCTGAGCTACAGGCGCCAAGCCTGAGCCCCTGCATTCTTTTCTAAGCCACCTCATATCTCAAAGCCTTCTGGCAGGACAGGGTGGCAGTCCCAGGTACAGTGGGAGGTAGGGGGCAGGGATACAGTCCTGCCACCCACAAACGATGTTCAGAACCCACATGCCCTGCTCAGGGCAGGACCATGACTCCCCCCTTAGGCCCAAGGATAAGGCCTTGGCTCCCTTCTCTGATCCTAGGTGCCCCTGGGCTGTGTCTCTCCACTCAGATGTCAGAATAGGGTGTGTCTCCCCCATCAGACCCACAACCATCTCAGGTTGAGTCATGCTGAGCTAGTATCCCCAGGTAGTGGGGGTGGGGTAAGCCCACACTTCTGTGTTCCCCTTCCCCCAGAATGAGGGGCTGCACTGGGGGTCCAGCAGCTCTGCTCCTGGGAGTGTGACAACAGACCCAGGAAGTGGGTCCTGGCCTCAGGAGCCTGAAGCTGAGTGTCCTCTCCCTATAGGGTTCTGCTTCAGTGCAGTCCTACCTAGGGCTGCTGCCTCTCTGGGCCTTGGTTTCTCCTCATGTAGAGCATATTGCAAGTCAGGCCTGGCCCTATAAAAGGGGTGCATCATCCCTCATGAGAATGCGAGCACTTGACATTTATTGACAACCTACTGTGTGTTAGGCACTTTTGGAGCAGTTGGGGAGGCTGTGGTGGAACAGATGGATCCTGGAGGGGGAAGCTTGGGGACAGCAGAGTTGCCAGCCAAGTAGGGGTGGCAGGAACAGAGTGGGAGCCACTTCCTGTCAGTGACTGATAGCTCTGGGCCTCCCTCTTCCTCTCTCCCATTGGAAGATGAGGACCCAGAAGCAGGTAGCAGAGGTGGGGTCTCATGGCAGGGGTGGTGATGATCACCCCCAGGGGCTGGTGGGAACAGCCGTTGGGATGCCCCTCCCTGCCCTGGGCCTCATCCCCACCCAGGGGTACCTTGAGCATAACAGGAAATTTCAAATAACAGGAAACCGAGGCTGGGCAAGGCAGGCAGGCTCCACCCTGCCGGGGCCTCAGTCTGCCCCTTGGGGAGGCCATGAACACCACGGGGTCCACAGGAGGCCGTGAGTCTTGTGAACAGCTGGCGGCTGGTGGGCACAGCCGGCTCATTGTGCTGCATTACAACCATTCTGGCAGGCTGGCAGGGCGCGGGGGGCCGGAGGAGGGCAGCCTGGGGCCCCTGAGGAGTCTGTCAGTGGCAGCGAGCTGCTTGGTGGTGCTGGAGAACCTCCTGGTACTGGCGGCCATCGTGACCCACATGCGGTCGCGGCGCTGGGTCTACTATTGCCTGGTGAACATCACACTGAGTGACCTGCTCACCGGGGGTGCCTACCTGGCCAACGTGTTATTGTCGGGGAATCGCACCTTCCGCCTGGCGCCCGCCCACTGGTTCCTGCGTGAGGGGCTGCTCTTCACGGCGCTGGCTGCCTCCACCTTCAGCCTCCTGTTCACAGCTGGGGAGCGCTTCGCCACTATGGTCCGGCCAGTGGCTGAGAGCCGGGCCACCAAGACCGGCCGTGTGTACGGCTTCATCGGCCTGTGCTGGCTGCTGGCCGCACTGCTGGGGCTGCTGCCGCTGCTGGGCTGGAACTGCGTGTGTGCCTTCGAGCGCTGCTCCAGCCTGCTGCCGCTCTACTCCAAGCACTACATCCTCTTCTGCCTGGTTGTCTTCGCAGGCGTGCTGGCCACCATCACCGCTCTCTACGGGGCCATCTTCCGCGTTGTGCAAGCCAACGGGCAGAAGGCCCCGCGTCCCGCTGCCCGTCGCAAGGCCCGCAGGCTGCTCAAGACGGTACTGCTGATTCTGGCGGCCTTTGTCGTGTGCTGGGGCCCGCTCTTCGGCCTGCTGCTGGCCGATGTCTTCGGCTCCAACGTCTGGGCCCAGGAGTACTTGCGGGGCATGGACTGGATCCTGGCCCTAGCCGTGCTCAACTCAGCGGTTAACCCCATCATCTACTCATTCCGCAGCCGGGAGGTGCGTCAAGCTGTGCTTGGCTTTCTCTGCTGCGGGTGCCTCAGGCTAGGCCTGCGGGGCCCCGGGGACTGCCTGGCCAAGGCCGCTGAAGCCCACTCCGGAGCCTCCACCACCGACAGCTCACTGCGGCCGAGGGACAGCTTCCGGGGCTCCCGATCACTCAGCTTTCGGATGCGGGAGCCCCTGTCCAGTATCTCCAGCGTACGGAGCATCTGAGGACACATGGACCCCATGCCAGGTGCAGGCCCACATGGGAGTCCTTGGGGTGCAGGGAGGAGTGTGTGCCATTCAGCCCTGCCCGGAGGGGACCAAAGGACAGGGCAGATCCTGCCATCCTCTCTGCTGATGCTGCCTGGGGCTTGCTGAAGTCAAGCCGGTTTTCTGTGGTTACTTTGGACAAGGATGTGACTGCAGCAGGGCCGGTGGGTTCACTACATTCACATTCCTGTGTCACTCTGGGGGAGTCCTGGCCCTTTTCTGGGCCTTGTTAGGGTTCCCAGGATGCAAGGGGCAGGCTGTGGGGTGGGGGCGCCCTCAGCAGTGAAGTTCAATGATGATACGAAAAGTCGTGGCCTCACTCTTATCCGCGCATACATGGGGGCCTGGCTGGTGGCTGCCTGTCAGCTGGCAGCGTGCAAGTGTAGGTGTGTCTTAGCTACAGCACGTATCAGGAGACATGGCTGTGAGCGTGGAGTGTGTGTGGACAGTAAGTACATCTGGGCATTTCAGGGAGGGGGTAGGGTGGCTGGCGACAGTTGTTCCCAGCTTCTTCTAGTTCCCTTCCTCTTTGGGGAAGTCAGGGCCCCTGCCCTGACTCTGACCTCTGCAAATTTTAGTGACCCATTCTGGGGATCTGGCACAGGAGTGGCGGCCTCACTTTCCTGGCCTCAGAGAGTCTCCCTCACCTTCCTTTCAGCAGTTAAGTGCCTTGCCCTTCCACAGCTCTGAAATGGCTAATCATGGCACCTATGCACATGGTCGATGTTACATGCCCAGCACTGGCCACAGCACCTGATATCCAACGTGTCCAACAGAACTTCTGGCAATGTGTGAATGTTCTACCACTGCACCATCTAGTAGGAGATGCTGGCCTCACAGGGATACAGAGCAAACAAGAACTGAACTTTTAATTGTAGATTTTATTTAATTTGAATTTGTTTACGTTTAAATAGCCCCATGGCTCAGTAGTGTTGGTGCTGGTAAAAATCTCTCTCCCTCATTCCAGGACCATACCAGGTCCCCCCTCCCTCCAGGTCTTCTTGTCTCTGTCTAGTCAGGTGAGGGGGTACATGGGCTTGGGATCCACCTGCCTGCCACCTGGGCATGGGACAGTTCTGCTTTTTTTTTTTTTTTTGACAGAGTTTTACTCTATACCCCTAGGTAGAGTATTGTGGTGTTATAACTCACAGCATCCTCAAACTTCTGGACTCAAGCAATCCTCTTGCCCTAGCCTCCCAAGTAGCTGGGACTACAGGCACCCTACTTAATACCCAGCTAGTTTTTAGAGACAGGGTCTCGCTCTTGCTCAGGCTAGTCTCAAACTCCTGAGCTCAATCAGTCAGCCTGCCTGGGCCTCCCAGAGTGCTAGGAAAACAGGTGTGAGGGACAGCTCTGCTTTAAGCCACTATTTCTCTGTTATATGATGGGAGACATGGTAATTGTGACTATTTATCACGCTTTCTAGTATTATAGCCATAGCCACACGTGGCTATTTAAAATTCATGAAAATTAAATGAAATTCAAAAATTCAGTTTCTCCGTATTTTGGTTTTCTAGGGCTGCTGTGACAAAGTCCCACAGACCAGGTGTCTTGAACAACAAAGGGTTTATTCTCTCTCTCAGTTCTGGAGGCTAGATGTCTGAGATCGAGTTGTGGGCAGGGCTGGGTCCTCCCGAGTCCCTGAGGGAGGGTTTGTCCCCAGCCCATCCCCATTTCTGGTGATGGCCATCAGCATCCTTGGTGTTCTTTGGCACGTAGAAGTATCACCCTGATCTCTGCCTCTGCCTTATTGTGGCCTTCACCCTCTGTGCGTGTCTGTGACCAATACCCTAGTATGGTCACACCACATACCCACACCAATCGTTTTGGATTCAGGGCCCACCCTACCCTGCTATGATGTCATCTTAACTGTTTCCATCTGCCATGACCCCACTTCCAAATAATGGTCCTAATCTGAGGTCCTGGAAGTTAGGACTTGAATATATGGATTTTTAATGGGGAACACAGTTCACCCTATAACAAGTTACACAAGCCACATTTCAAGTAGTCAATAGTGGCTCCCAGTTCCTGTTTTGGACGTGGGCACTGATGTCTGATGATCTCCAACATTTGGACAACACTGATGCAGACCATTTCCATTGTTGCAGATGGTTCTCTTGGACAGGATTGGTTAAAGTCCTAAGAACTTGTATGGGTGCACTAGAGCTGGGATAGTTCTTGCATTTTCCTAGTTCCTATTCTGTGTGTGTTTGACTGGGACTGCAGCAGG